AACGCGTAATAGTTTTTTTACCCGTCAAACGCGTAATAGATTTTTTACCCGTCAAACGTGTAATAGATTTTTTACCCCTCACCGCGCGTAATGGATTTCATGATTTTTCGGAAAATCTCGGGTAATCTCGCATAATCTCTTTCCATTTCCTTATTATTAAAGTGTATCCAAACAGATTTCCTTATTACTGTACCCAAACAGTGGAAATATCATGTCCTTATTATTAAAGTGTACCCAAACCAAACAGTGGAAATGTCATATCCTTACTATTAAAGTGTACCCAAACAGTGGAAATGTCATATTTCTGCTTTCCTTGTAATCTATTATCACGTAATAGATTTTCAAGTATCCAAACGGCCCCTTAAAGTCGATGAACTTGAGAGATATTTTTATCAAAAGATAACATCGCATGAATAGTAGCCCAAACTTCCTTAGCAGTATCAAGAAACACAATATTAGCCCCACATATGGTTTCCATTCGTAATTTCGTAGTTTTCCCTAAGCCATTCTTTATATCCACTATCTGATTCTTTTGGGCTATTTTTAGTAGAAAACTTAATCTTATCCTTGACAACAAGAGACACTTTTATAGACTGAGCCCATAGAAATAATTTGACCCATTTAAGACAGAAGAAATAGTTGTTACTCAGAAACCCACAAACAAAGATTTCCCGACTAGAACTCCTGCATGAAGCTCTATAGGCTTCCTATAGCTTCAGCCAGAATTCCTACTTGAATCTCCATAGGCTTGTGAACTGAACAGGCAGGAGTTTGGGAAAGCCTTTCAGTTTTCTCACTCGAGATATCCCAATTGAACTCGATCCTTCGATCAGGTTACATGCATTTGAAACTTCTAACTAAAGTATGTATATGGGTATGATGCTTGTTTGCATCGATTCTTTAGGATCCTTAACTTAAAAAAAAAGGCCATTTGTCCTTCGATAAGAACATCTATGACAACTTATTAAGATTTGCAACCAAGAGAACCCTGTAGCTATAGCATGTCACGAATAGCTGTATTGAATTAAGAGTATCTTGAGGGTACACGTACGGTTTCATACAATTACAAGGGAAGCACCATCACCTCAAAAGTCCATGCAGTTCATTCTTATTAAGTTCGTTTTGGATTACATATTTCTAATTAACTTTACAACCTCCATTTGTTTAAATTGTTGGTAGCTCTGTGAGATGGATTCCCAGCCACTGGACAAAATGCAAAATGCTTATGAAAATGCGTATAGGCCAAGGTCTTTAATTATGTTCTCTAATGCATTAGTGCACCTGCTTTTAGCCAGATGTTGCTAGAAAGTTATATTTGGTCTACTACACAGCAATTATTCGACAAATGGAATCATCTTGCCAAATATAAGGCCAATATAAAGTTATTCTAGAATTAGTCATATCTAAATTTACCCATTAATGCACCTTCTTTTAGCAGAGATATTGGCAAACTTATATTTGGTCCATTACCCAGCAGTCATCTTGCATCTTCCTTCCTAATGTGAAGTATTCATAGGAGCCAAAGAACAAATATTCTAAGTTAAGATTCCACAATGGCTTACTTTGCTTACTTCGTACAGATTCCATATCACTAACTCATTTCACAGGGATATGTAGTTGGGCAAAATTTCAATCAATTTCAGCAATAACAGTAGTATCATATTTTCTGGATTTTTCGAAACATAATCTGTCTCGAGCATCTGATTGCAATTATTGCTTCAAGCTGATCTAATGGTTCCCTTCGTACTTCTCATCTTTTTTCAACTTAGAATTTCAAGTTTTTATCTTTCCCTGATTAGTAATTTCAAATTTCTATCAAAATTTTGGGTAATGTAAATAGAGTTTTGAGACTAATTGATATAGAACGGGATCTGGAACAGAGTAATTGAGGATTGGTTATGAGCACCTACGTTTTTCCATCTATGAAGTCTAGAAATTGAGCAGTTTTTTACTAACAAATAGGCTATTGAAGATTTATGCTAATCCATCTTCACAGAAACAGAAAGCTAAGGACTGTCATTGATTTATGCTAATTCAAATGGTGTCTTTTCTCAAATTCTGATTGACCAAATGGCAAAAGTTTAAATTATGTTTCGCTGTTTAGGGGTGTTTGAAATTTTTCATTTGAATTGCAGTGTGTTATTGTGTAGTGCGTTGGCGGTGGTGGTGATAGTGCATTATTGGGTTTAGTGGTAGTGGTACGGCGGTAGTGGATGTGGTGGCAGGTCACAGTGGCGGTGGTTAGGCAGTGGCGTTAGCAAAGGTGGAGTAGTGGTGGTAGCTAGGTGACAGTGGTAGGCATCGAGGTGGTGTAGTGGTAGTGGTGGAGCAGGTTGTGTTGGTTGTAGAGGTGGGATGTGTGTGTGTGTGTGTGAGAGAGAGAGAGAGAGAGAGAGAGAGAGAGAGTTTTTTTGCTAAACATCTTGAGAGTAGTTTTGCAAAAAACTTAATTTGGGGTTCCAGTAGTATTTCAAATTGAAATTTGATAAGCAATCGCCCCTTGAGGTCACATTGCAGGTAACAAATTTCAAATTGGCCTACGGTGCAAGTTGGCCTAGAAATCCAACGGGGTGCTAATTGGTAAAGAACAGGCAGTTCAGAACAGGGTAATCGAAGTTGTGTGATTTTGATATGCGGTTGCTTAATTCTTTTCCGTCTCAAAAGTCTGCAAATTGAGCTTCAATTGACTAAAGGACAAACAAAAGCTCATCCTTTGTTGGCCTTTATTTGGGTTAAATGTTGGTGCAGAATATGTTCTTTTATTCAGTTCACCTTTTTCCATATTTATATTTGAGCAACTTTTTTTGAATGCTATTCATATTTAAGTAATTCAAACTACTATTTAATTGCTTGTTGACTTTATGATTATTATCCTTCCAAAAGCTACTAAATCCTGACTAAAAAGGTGGTAGATAGAGTAACCTGATTTTTTCTTGAACTCTCTTGATTGATTCTGAAAGTCTTTTAAACTCATAACTCATGACTAAAAAGAAGGCAGATTGAGGATATTTATCCTGATTTATCTCGGGAAAGTTAATTGGTGTGGCTGGATCATCAGTTGAGAAACTGTGGTGCCTCCTCATTTTTCATACATTAGCAAAAAAAAATTGCAATTTGCAAATCCATCCTCTTGACCCCTGAGATCAATATCCTATGAAAGAATGGATTTAGGGCCCTAAAAGTGCTCCTTAAATGTCACCTCAACGTGCAATCTGAATCATCAATTTCATTGGAGTCCTTGATCAGTTGACATTTGAACTGTTTAGGAACTCCAAATCCATTTTTCTAGGGCAGAAATGGTTTTGGAGGGGCTTAGAAGGGTTTTGGGTCCTCAGTTATCAAAAAGATGAATTTTGAAAAAGGGGGACAAACATAATGTTTGCATGTGGGACAGCTACCCTTATCTTGAACTCTTGTAATTGATTCTGAATGAGTTATAAAGTTATGCAAATTGGTTAACCAAAAACAATTCATCTCCTTGCTTAAGATGTTTCTACGTCTCAAACTCTTTAAAGTACAACATTCTGAGAAAGTAGAATGCCTGTTCAGAGAGAGAATTTCAAACCAAGGAATGTCTAGTTGTAGAGATATAATTTAATGCACTGATTTAGAGAATATGGTGGGGATCTTTTATCATATGCTATTTCTAGTTCCATTTTTGGATCTTTTCTCATATGCTGCATCTAATCTTATTTTTGGAGGAGAATATCCCTGGCCTTTCTGAACCATTTGATTTATCCTTTTGTGGGCTAAAAGGATTTTTTTGGTTATTTTTATAACTGCCCCTTAAAATTCTGAGACGGATTTGGTAGAAAATTGGCTTACTCACATAATCAATAATTTTAATTGACTGAATTCCCAAGATTGTTGATGCCTTTTGCTTTAGAGACTGAAGGAACTGTAGAGTAATTCATTCCTTAAAAATTTCCTACAATAACATAAAATCCTTTGTAGCTTTAAATGTTTCATGATCAAGTGCCCCCAAATATTTGAAGGAAATTGATGGAGAACCACTGACGCTAAGGGTGCCTATGTAGTTTTTGAACACAACATTGTTATTGACCTCTTTCATCATTAGTTTTAAATATTCTGATCAGCATGGAGTGTGGAGACCTAAGGAAGTCATCATATTTGATCCAACATGATCATTAACTTTCTGCAAATTCTAAGGATTTTAAGGAACCCACTGTGTTTGATCCAAGAACATCATTGATAAGTTGTTCTGTTTGTAATTTCCTTGTTTTCATCTAGCTTTTCCCTTCTGTTTCGATATTCTCAAAATTATTATTTCTTGTTTGATCGAAGTGGATGAATGAGAAACTTCAAATTTCTATGATCACTCATTATCAAGTTAACCAGGCATTGCATCTGTTCAAGCACACTTTCTAAATTTTGCCTGTAAACCTGCTTCTCAAGAAAGGAATTGTCTCAGCATAAAGTTTATCCATCTTGGGACTTTTGTTCATTTCTTTTCAGCATTTTCCTTCCAAAAGATTCAATATCCCAATTTCTCAATTTGTCTCACTATTTTTTGTTCTTGAAGGAAAGCATAAACAGATAATGGATGCACTGGGTCCAAATGAACAAACAGGGATTTTCAGACCTTTTTTGTTCTAGTTGTTTATACCAAATTTCTTATGGGACAACTGCATAAAGAGTTATTTTTGAGGCTTGTTTTCCCCATACAACCAGATTATGATCTAAGACTACATGATGGAGCACTCCCAGTGATTGTGAAGTGAAATTAATTTACAGGGAGGATGTCCAACAAAGAGAAGCTTACATCATGTAGTATCATTCCTCACAACCTGCATTTCTGTAACAAGCTTTGTCATATATGAACTCCAACAAAGAGAAGCTTACTTTGTGTTGTCTGATTCCTCACTCTTTGAAGCTGATACACAGGGGCAAGCTTTGTCAAAATGAGAATATTTTACAATATGTTTGGGATTATTTCGGTATGCCAGCTTCTAATCTCTTGTCTTTTTGCTGATTCATAGGTTTTCATTTTGTCTGGGCACTACAGAAGCCCTTCATTGGTGCTTTTGGGCTTACAATCGGTTCATTTCATTGCTTGTAGTATTTACGCTCAATAATTTTGAAGAGAGCCAGATAGGATTTTGCATATAGAAATTACTTGGTTACAGGGTGCCTACACTGAAGTGATCCACCCAACATACCTTCAGTTTTCTTATATACTCACCATGTCTCTGTTCGAGCTAGTCTTTTTCAATTGGCGTATTTTTGGACTACCATATATCAGGCTTCGGGTATGTGAAGAAGACTTACATGTAATACAATGTAATACAAAGTAATGTTAGTGAAATATAAATAAATAAAGGGAATATAAAGTCATGCATTCTTATATGTTTTATGTACCTATTTATGTGTTCAATACACAGACACATCTCATACACACTGCATAAGCTTTGATGTATATTTATCACTAATACTTGCATCTTTATAGTGTCCTGGATTTCAGGAATTGCTGAGTTATTTCGCCCTCCCTGTACCTGTTCCGTTGTCTATATCTGTATCAATGTATATTTGGTAAAAAAAACTTAATATCGAATAACAAGACATAACTTGAGCTATTTTGTTGCTTTCCTCGCGGGACTGTTTCCGTAACATTGTGAGTACTGCAAATATACTTTGATTGTGTTATATCCATATGTGATTATTATGGATCCTTATGGTAAATCTTGTCATTCCTTGTAAATTATATTAAAAAAATTATCACTACGTCTTGACTGTTGATTTTAGATTCAAGGAGTTTGGCTAGGCATGGCATAGCCAAATGGAGCTCGCTTTCAATTTTGGCTTATTTTTAGCTTTTTGATGATTTTCTAGCGAACTAGCACTTTTAGACTATTTTTGCTTTCTGTTTTATGGTCATGATTCACATCAGTGGTTGACAATTGGCGGCTGACTTGGATTCACCCTAGTCGGCTTAGACCCTAGGGGTACTCTTGTCCCAAAATAGGGAAACATCCGATTGTCCAAAAGCATGTGGTTCTCGTGACAGTGAATCACCTCGTCTTGCTTGCTTCATTGTAGGGACTTTGGTGCCTAAGTTTGGTTCTTATCATGACTCTACAATGTCATTTTTCTTAATTTTTTAGTGGACTTTAAAGCTATAGAAATCTCATTGTGAATGTATAGATAATTCCATACGCACACACGCACTCACACAAAGGGTGCTCCTTATACCTATAGTAATATATCAGGTCATTCTCAGAACAACGCTCCCAATTTAGGGAGCTTTAGACATGGGTTGATCCCAAGCTCATGCTTCAGCTTTACCTCCTGCTCTAATGACTATGCTCTTGACACTCTCTTCATGTGACAGGGAAACTTGCATTTATCATGAAAATTTCTAGAGTTGGATCAGTGGGTGCCACATGGGAAGAACCTTCCCTAGGCTATACTTGGTAGTATGTCAGGAAGTTAGTTGGGGAAGCGTGATAAGAATTGATAGCCAAGAATTGTGAATGCCAAAGTCCTGGTGAAATCTTAAGGATGATGAGACCATAGATTTTGTTGACTTGCAGAAATCCTGAAGTCAATCTACATCCCATTGCAGGGCATAGATAGATTGATCTGGGTGCCAATTTTGAGGTATTTTTTCAGCATCATCTTTCTATAGTTCGATTTACAATTTTTCCCTAAGCCCTCACCCTTGATCTTTCCTTCCACTTTGCTGTGCTTATCTTCTGCATCTGGTATATGTCTTGTATGGCATCCAAACTCATAAGGGCCTCATGTATATGACATATCCCTGTTTGAAGACATTTTTCAGCACCTTGGTTCCTGATGCGGAATAAAAAGAGAAGCCGGTCAATAAAGCCTTGACATACAGTGGAATTCTCGACAGTCTCAGAATTGCCCCAGAACGAGTCAGAATGTTCTTACGCACTTCAAAAGGCCACCTGCCAAGTTTGTCGCAATCCAACGTGTCTAAGGCAGTGCAGACAAAGAAACAATTTTGAAAAATCAGCCTCTAACACCCTGAAACGGACTTTGTAACTAGAGCTCTATTTTCGGTGCGTTAAATTGCTGTGGGACCACTGCTATTGGATCTGGCACGGTCGAAAACCCCCATGGGTCAAGTTTTAGCTTAACCAATCACTCCAGGACAAAGTTATGGGTAAAATACCAAAAAGGGGTAGGCTGCACAGTATCCCTATGGCCTCTTTGCACCAAATCACCATTAAAGGTGATTGTTTTTACAGTCTCGGGCAGTAATTTTCGGGGGCCATATCTCATTCGTCCCGAGTAGGATCGCGCTCAAATTTGAGAGCTTGTTCGTCTCGTCAAGACGAGCGTTTTGATATGTGGCACGCCCCGTGACAATGCCCGAGCAGGGAGTAAAGCTAAAGAGAAGTTGCTGATCCGTGAAGAAAGTTGCAGGAAAATCAGCAGCGACACGCCTCGCTCGAGTGGCCAAATCACGACGTTCGGGTATCGAATTGATGCGAGACCAATTCCATCACGTGCGTAAGGTCTAGGGCTATCTCCAGTCCGAACCCTGTACAAGATGAACGGTCGGATTTCGCGCACAAAGGCAATAAAGTGACTGTCAATTCCAGCATCGGAATTTCAGATTCCGATCAAAACTCCAAAGTTGCCAAATCCTCGTCCGGGCACGAAATCGAGCTGCTTTTGTTGTCACGCGATCGTGACGGTATGCTTAGTGTGATCCAGCAAAGAAATCATAAAGAAACATCAAGAAATAAGCGCACTATAAATCCGAAGTTTTCAAGATTCATCCAAATTTTAAGTCATGATCGTAGCCTAAAAACACGATCCATGACTCGAAGTTGGTATCAAATCGATCGCCATGCCGAGCCCTACAAGTCGATCAAACGGGCACCAGAGCAACTTCAGATCATTTATGGACGATCACGTATGTTCTAAGGCAGCAGCAGGGACTGTCTTGGAATTCGACGAATTGTTAGGCACGGGCAAAACAGTCATTTTGCACCCATTTTTAGAATTTCTTTTAATTCAAAATAATTGTAATCATCAATTGAGATAGTTTTTGGGCATCCACCCATTTTTGGGCCCAATTCTATAAATACATGCTAAAGCTAATTGTAAAGGGTCCTCTGGGCTCTTCCCTGATTCCCCCTCAGACTGTCAATTGATCTATAAAGTTCGCGTTTTTGTTTTGAGTTCGTGGGTGCGTCTTGGAGAGAGAAGAAAAGCGTCGGTACCCTTCGGTAAGGTAATTTTCTCTCTCCTCTTGTCTCTCTTTCTCTCTCTCTTCCTCTCGTCTCTATCTTCTCTTCTTTTTTTCTCTCTTTGGTTCCTCTCTCCTTTCTTTCTTCTTCTTTTCTCGACTGCTCCGTCTTCTTCTCTGTGGCACAACCGTGCATGTCATCTTCTTCCTTCTCTTTCTCTAACCCACACAACGATGGCAGCGCTGTGTTCCATTCTCTCCCTTTCTTCTTCTCGATCTTTCTCTCTGTTTGTCTCTGATCGAATGTGCATGGTGATGGTAGCGCCATGCACGAACCTCTCTCTCTATCCTCTTCTCTATCTCTCTCACACGATGATGGCAACGCCGTGTGTGCTCCCTTCTCTCTCTATTTTCTCTATCTCACACACACGGCGATGGCAACACCGTGTGTGTTTTCTTCTCTTTCTCTTCTTCTCTATCTTACATACACGACGTTGGCAACACCGTGCGCGTTTTTTTCTATCTCTTCTTCTCTATCTCACACACACGACGATGGCAATGCCATGTGCATTTTCTTCTCTATCTCGCACACACGGCGATGGCAACACCGTGTGCGTTTTCTTCCCTCTCTTCTTCTCTATCTCATATGCACGGTGATGGCAACGCCGTGTGTGTTCCCTTCTCTCTCTATTTCTCTATCTCACACACACGACGATGGTAGTGCCGTGTGCGTTTTCGTCTCTCTTCTTTTCTATCTCATACACACGGCGATGGCCCCATCATGTGCGTTTTCTTCTCTCTTCTTTTCTATCTCGCACACACGGCGATGGCAACGCCGTGTGCATTTTCTTCTCTCTTCTTCTTCCTCTTCTCCTTCTTTCCTTATTCTCTCTCTACTCTATCTTTCTCTCAGTCAGAACATGCACGGCGATGGCAACCCCGTGCACGAATCTCTCTTTCTGTTTTCTTCTCTCTCTGACACCCATGTGCACGAATCTCTCTTTCTGTTTTCTTCTCTCTCTGACACCCACGTGCACGAATCTCTCTTTCTGTTTTCTTCTCTCTTTGACACCTACGGCAGTGGCAGCGTCATGCGTACCTCTTTCATCTCCTCTTTCCTTATTCTTCTTCTCTCTTTCTTAATCTCTTTCTCTCGCTTTCCTTCTTTCTCCTTCGGCTCTTTCCCAATTTCTCTCCTCACTTTCCTTTGCCATCTCTTCCTTTCTTCTCTCTCTACTTTCTTTTCGTCTTCCTCTTTTCCCCCCTCCTTGCCTTCCTTGCCTTTACTCTGATTTCTTTTCTCTCTCCTCTTCAGTCATGCACGGCGATGCTCATCGCCGGGTATGACGTTCTCAGTCTTCCTTTATCTTTTAGAAATATGCGCAGTGATCTGGGCCTTAACCCGAGTGGCAAGCAGGGCCTCTGTTCAAATTTCCCCTTTCCCATGTTGTGCACGACGATCCTTATCGCCGCGCATAACACTTCTTTCTCATTCTTGTCTCTTCTTCTATCATGGACGGCTGAAGTCCATCGCCATCCATGTTCTTTCTCTCGCGTCTTCTCTCTATCATGGACGACGGAAGTCCATCGTCGTTCATGTTCTCATTCTCTCTTCTTCTCTCTCTCTGCTTTTTTTATCCCTTATCTCCCTCTTTCTTCTTATTCTTCCTCTCTCATTTGACCAAGGGACAAGTCTAGCATTCTCACGGTAGTCTCGTCGTTGAGCAGTATTGCCGTAGTGCCGGTCTGAGTCACCGTGCCCCTCTTGCTGCCACGTTGAACTAGCCGTTGTGTCAGGCTGGTTGGTGTTGGTGTTTTGTCGTCAAGTAGTATTGCCGCCGTGCCGGTCCACGTTATCGTGCCTATCTTGCGACCACGACAAGTCAATCATCATGCCAATCTAGCCACTGTGTTAGGCTAGTCACCCTGTCAAATGTCTCTTTCTTTTCTTCTTCTTCTCTCTCTTTCCTTCTCCCAATCCTCATCTCATCATTTCTTCTCTTTTCTCTTTTCAATGTTCACGCCTTGTGTACATTCAACCAAAGACAAGGTGGGGTCCTTTGGCCCACTTGTCTTATAAAATTAACCATGTTTGTGTAATTGCATAACCAAGAGAATACCGACCAAGGGAGGCGATTCCGAACCCGTTGTAGGACTGGGGGGCTTTTTTTGTGATCTAAGAGGGCACCCACGCGAGCCAGCCCGAGTTAGTCTCGAATCCACCTGAAATTCCTCTCTCATCGGTTGGTATACCTGCCCTCGCTCCTAAGCGAGGTTTCCGAGAGAGCGTTCTCAAAGTCCCGGGTTTCCCCTAAACCCGAGACGCGTGCCGTTAGATCATCCAGATCCGGAGGGCGAGATCGAGGCACCTAACCAATCCCCATGGATTCTATTGCCATCAATGTTCATAACCTTGAAGGCTGACATCAATCCTCACAACATTGAACCACACACACATTATCCAAATTATGATAAAGGTTTTGTGATAGCTATGTTGGACTTTCATGTTTTCACTCTTTAATCTCAGTTTATGGTGTCTGCAGTTCCATATGTCAGTTGTTGATTGATTGATACTGAGGAACTTTTGTGATGTTAAATTTTTTGGGCACTAAAGCACCTAATGGTATTTGATGTCGAATGCCAATATAATCCATTCCAGTGCATTAAAAGGCAGCTTGCCTCAAGGCACTTTGGTGTCAATCCTTTCCTCCTACATTTAGGTAGCTAGCTTGCCTTCCTCCTCAACCACCTCAGCCTAAGCTCACCCAAGGGCAGAGCATTCCTTAGGTGAAAGTTGTGGTCTCTCCGCATTTAAGAGAAGAGGGGGGGAAGGGGGGTGTGGGTGTGGGTGTGGGTGTGGGTGTGGGTGTGGGGGGGAGGAAAGGCTGTAAGGGGAATGTTCCCACCAAAGGCTCAGGACTTTTATTACTGAACATGTTCATTACTCGAGACTTTGCATTTGTTGGGAAAACGGTCATGTTTGATGGGTTTCTTTCGTATGATATCCTAAACAGGTTCATTACTCGAGACTTATGTTGAAACTTCAGATTGTATTTGAATCTTTTTTTTTTTTTGAGTTGTTGCAAAAATATTTGTTTCCCATGAATGGTAGTAAGATATATAATCTATGAGATTCTTCTATCTCAACTTTTTGGGGTCAGTTCTACAGCACATGATTATCATTGTTTCTTTTCCATTTTATTCAAATGGTCGTCTTGGTCTTTTGGTTTCAGTTGCAAATTTGAAGACATAATCCTAGTGAAGCATGGGCCGCCACAGAAACTCACTGTACAATCCCCAATTATTGGATATGAACGTTGATCAAATCTGGAGCCATCCGCTTCCTGCTGAATCACACACATTACGGGGTGAAACTAACAATTTATCAAATGCCAACAACCATGTGGGAGACGCACCTTCCAGTCACATCAGGAATCCTTATTTAACAGGAAGCAACAGTTACTCTTGTGACCATGTGGCAGGCAGGGCCAGCCTCTCTGAAAATGCTTCTTTCTCTTCCTATGATGGGGAAGGGATGACTGGGTGCCGGTGGAATTACACCTCTGATTCAAACTTGTTATCAAGGACTGCTGATTATCCTCCCCTGACAAGCAGTCTGAATTCAGGAACACTGGTTTATAACACACCTTCATCCTCCAGTGCAAGCATTCCATATTGGCCCCAGCATTTTTCCTCCTCGGGTGACTACAGAGGTGTTGGTGTGGGAGAAGACTATTATGGGAACATGAACAGTAATACTTCAACTTGGTTCAATGGTAGAAATGTATGTAAAAGGAAGAGTTCATTCAGCTCTCTGGCGGCCTACGAAGAAGGGGGCAGAGGGTATTGCAGTAGTGGAAGTTCTTCTGGTCCACATATGAGGGAAGAACCAATTGTTGGGTCCAGGCGTGGTCCTTGGGGTTCTTCCACAGCTTCAGATTATTACAGAGGAAATAATCCCCTTTCAATTATTGATGGGGAAGGATTGTCTCAAAGGAATGTGAGAAGCCGTTCCCTTGTTCAACCAGAGGTGAGTATGTTGCGTTCATCTGGCCTCCACTTCCGTTCCGCTCCTGATCATTGGCTAGGGGATGGGGATGTCATTACTGCAAATTCTACTATGCAATTCAACTGGAACCATTCCACATCTGCTGTATACCATAGAAGGCGCATGTTGGCTTCAGGTTGGTCCATGTTTTAATTGATAGTGTGCATGCATATAACCTTATTAGGTGCTCCTTTTGGCTGGTTATTTGAGTTTTTCTTTGCAGAACTATTTTCTCCTCTTGCGTAGATGATTAGTTTCTGTGTTTCATTGCATAAATTGAACAGTAGGCGACCTCACTGTAGTTTAGTCACTGAAATGTTTTATCTTTTTTCATTTAACTAGAGAACAACCTGAGAAATCATGATGTGAATGGGTTCATAGGAGTTGGGACTTCCATCAGCATGAGTGGTTCTTCTTCTAGGGAGACAGTAGGATCTTCCATCATTCAATGTGGCATACCTCATCATTCTTCCCCCACGCCCAGGATTAGGGGCAGTGGTCCTTATTATGCTCAACAAGGAACCCCTTATCAGCCAATTGTTGCCAGTTTGATAAGCAATCATCATCGTTATCAACGTGCTCCAACGACTTCCAATGCTGCTGGTCTACTGGATTTGGGATCAGAAACCCATTATGCCTCCACTGGGTCTCTAGTAACTGGAAGGCACGTTGGCGAAAGGTTTGGTAATAATGGTAGCAGTTCTTTTGGGAGATCGCCAAGGCTTGAAAGGTTCTACTCTGAGGTGTGTAAACCCCCTCTCGTTTCTTGCTTGTACACTTTTTATTTTGGTAGCTAGTTTAGCTCTTTACATATAATTTGTTGCTGCCTTTCATTTGCTTTGTGAAAACTGTTCCATCCAAATTTTTGGTGTGAGTAGGAATGCTAGTCCAAGAAACATTGTGTCATCGATGTTCAAAGTTATGTTTATTTGTGTGCTTTGGCAGAGGAATATTGCATTGGGTCAACATTTGATGTTTTACAGTGCCAGTGATTTGTTTGATGAGCACAGTGATATGAGGCTGGATGTAGACAACATGAGTTATGAGGTACCTTGTTATTACTATGAGAGCACAATATTCTTAAACTGCTCCTATGAGTTTTTCCTGTTCTTTCCTGTTCTTTAACTTCTATATTGAAAACTGGTATATTCTTGGTGAATTGAAGGAATTGCTGGCGCTAGAGGAGCGTATTGGTGATGTGAATACTGGATTATCTGAAGATGTTATCTTCTTGAAGTGTTTAAAGGTTAGAACGTATACTGCTGAAAATATTTCCAAAGACAAGCAGTTGGAAGAAGGAAACTGCATAATATGCCAGGTGCATGAATCTAAGTTATCCACTCACCTTTTTCATTAGATTGAATTGTCCCATATTCTATGTAAAGATTGCACTTATTCTTTTGTTTTTGTCTTTGTCTTTGTGAGAGTGAAGAGAGAGAGATGCTTGTCCTGCATATAGCGTGTTTGGAGAGAGAGTGTGTTGGTTGCTGACTTGCACAAATGATACTATTGAATAGGAAGAGTACGAGGAGAAAGAGGAAGTTGGGACGTTGGACTGTGGGCACGAGTACCATATTTCCTGCATAAAGAAGTGGTTGGTTCAGAAGAATGTGTGCCCCGTCTGCAAAGCACCTGCTTTGGCTGATGGTGGTCACAGCAGCAGGTGATAGAGCTATTAGGTTATTGCTTGTGATTAGTTTCTGTGGTTGTTTGGTGGGAGAGCAAGATGATCATCCCATCTTCTCTATCATTTTATGTGCATACCAACATCTCCTGCTTGATTGTATTGGCTTTCTTTGCTGGATCATGATCATCTGAGAGGACTCATCCATAGACATTGTATACGCTGCTTCAGAAATTTGATTGCTCTTAGTTCAAACTCTCTTTCTCTCACTCTCTCTCTCCATTCCATTGAAGAGGCTAAAGATCCTCTGTAGTGGCATGTCGTCTGATACATTTCATCAAATGTAGATAAACACTGCTAAAATGTATATGAGCAAATGGAGTGTTATGGCTTTTATGGCAGACATATCAGATTGGAAAAAGACACTATATACCGTTAAGCATTGGACATTTCATGTCTCTCAGGCCATATAACCATATGATATCCAATCTACACTACACAACTCGAGCTTTGAATGGTGGTTGGTGGTTCCCCTATGGAGCACGGCATTCATTCCCTAGACAAATAGAGTTTACAATGACGCTTTTAACAGTCGTGACAGGCAAGTGAAGAGGCCTATTCTGGCCAATTCTAAATTATGATTTTTCATGTTTGTTATGCGGGATTGGTTGTGCTGTTCCATGATAATCCATGAAAGTGGCGGCTTCCATATTTTGTGGATCAGAGGGTTTTATAGTCCCCTCCTCCACAAGACGAATGCGCTTTTAAAGTAGATCTCTCTTTGCAATTATTGCACGACTGCTGGGAGGTCTTCATGGCAAATATGCTATGCCATTACCTTGCTGATCGTAGCTAGCAGAGGGTGAAATGGCTTTAAAAAGGGGATCTAAATACTGGTTTCTTACATACCATTGCAACTTCTCGCATTGCAACTTCGAGAAAGTGGCAAAATGATATATTAGGTATAGGTTTTGAAGGGATAAACGAGAATGATTAAAATGAATTTATTAGGCATTTCTAGAGGGTTTTCTCTAGTGAGTATAGGGAGTCCCTCTGAACAATCACCACAAGACAAGGTGAGTGAGTTGAAGGCACCAGTTAATTTGGTTAGAGGTTAAGTAAGTTGTCATTTCTTTTTTTGGTTTAAGTGTGAGTTGTCATTTCTTTGTCAAGTGATAATACACAATGACCACATGGATTCCCCTTAATTTTCTTTCAAATTGGGGAATAGTAGAGGAATGATTAGCTATTGTTGAAGAATTCATAGAGGGGATTGATAAGAGCATTAATTCGTCAGACATTGTATTAATTCCAAAGAAAAATACAATTATAGGTGTTAATGATCTTAGGCCAATTAGTTTGCTTTGTAGCTTACATAAGATCATTTCCAAAATTCTAGCTCCTTGCTTAAAAGGAGATCTTGCCATTGTTTATTTCTAGACTGCAAACAACCTTTATTAGTAATAGGTTTATCACATGAAGTATTCTTATTGCTCAGCAGTGTCTACATTCTAGAATTAAGAGGGGAACCTAAGGTACTGCTACAACTTGATATTCAAAAGGCCTACGATAGGTTTGGGTGGGATATATGAAATTATGGGACATAGGTTTTGGGAGCAAATGGAGGAGTTGGATTATGGGTTGTCTTTTGAGTTCTCTTTTTTTTGTGATCGTTAATAGTTGTCCCAAATACTTTTTCAAAGCCTTGAGATCCCTTTCCTATTTACTTTAGTGGTAGAAGGGTTTAGTTTCATGCTTTAAAAGATTGAATGAAGGTTTGGGTTGAATATGTGAAGCTAGATTGGATCAAGTAAGGGACATTATAGTTAATTGTTTTAGAAGTTTGGTAGGGGTAGGGTGTGCCATTGACTTGGTTCATTTGTTTGCTTCTCAGTGGAAAATTTTCCCTTCAAGTATCTTGGTCTTGTGATTTTGAAATGTAGATTGCTAAATCCAAAACTAGGACTTTCTCTTGCTAGAGCTCGCTCTATAAACCGAAAACCTACGCATGCTCTCTCTACTAAGATTAAAGGTGGCAATCTACCGGGTGGCCGGCTTTAAAAAACTACGGTTGGGTCATAAAATGTGGCCTGAGGGCTGTGCAATTATTGTTAAAGCCGGTCTGGTCATCTTTTTTTCCCTTTGTGTGGTTTTATTTTTTAATTCTTTTTTTTGGCAAGCCCAGAGCCTCTGTGGTCTCCCAGGCCTGGGCCAACCCTAGTCCAATGAGGACCAGGGTCCGGGCTGTGCCAGGATTGGCCTGGCCCAAGCCAAGGCCCATCCCTTTGCAAGCCCCAAGTCTAAGGTTCTCAAAGGAAACCCCAAAATAATATACATTCCAAAAATATCACTCTCCCCCTCTCAAAGAGACCAAAATAACAATCAAACCAAACTCATAAAATATCTACACTAATCAAGAAGAGAGAAACAAATGGCAAAGTCATAACCAACTACCAGAATAACAATCAAACCAAACCCTTAAAACATCTATACTAATCAAACTGCCATGGCCCCAAAAACTAGGGAATAGAAAGATGAGAGATAAACAAATGGCGGAGAGAGGAGATTGACGATAGAAAAATGGTATACATTCCAAGATCGATCTCTCTCTACCTTTCAAAGAGACCAAATAACAATCTAACCAAACCCATAAAGCATCTACACTGATCAAATACCCATATGGCTCCAAAAACTTGGGAATAGAGAGAAGAGAAGAGAGAGACAAATGGTTTGTGATAAGTCATTACCCCATAACAAGGAGATGCGATCTATTGTTGATTGGATAAAACTTGTAAAAACATGGGAAGAGAGAGAGAGCTGAAAAAATACCAGTATTGGCTAGAGATAGAAAGAGCACAAATGCGGGAGTGAGACTGGTTGGTTATGATGTGGTATAGTGATTGATACAACTTTTATGGGATTGTATACAATGAGACTATTTACCTTTAATAAAAGGAGATCACAATCATAGTTACCTGGAGCGCCCAACTAGGGTGGCGCTCCTACTCTGGGACCCAGGTCCGGCGCTCCGTGGCCGGGATCTCGTCCGGAATCCATTCCCATCTTTTTTGGAACTTGCTTCTATTTTTAAGATTTTCGATCCCATTCACAACGGTGCTTGCTCCCGATAACATATGGTTCTCACTCTTATTGTCCCATGGAATGCATTCTCGAACAAATTAGATCCCGGCTCCCAGAATTTTAGGATCGCGATCCCTACGTTCTCGGAACTTCATCCTTAGGGAGGACCCCACCATGAAAAAAAACAGAGCCACCCACCATTAAAATAGTAGGGTTATCAGTTAAAAATGCATAGAAATTGAGCCTCTAGGACTCAAAGGAGCTATTCTAGCCCTAATTTTAGATGGGTAATTTTTGGGTACTCTATAAAAAATGTTAGTTTGCTTTTTCAATCATTTACAAAGGTTTTTCATTTGAATTCCTATAGAAAATCAATCAACCCAATTCTTCAAGGATATCACCAGGCTTCACAACTATGGAGTTGCTTGCAATCCAGTGAATAATTTTTTCATCTTAGATTTTAGCAATTTTCATAGCTTGTTTAGCCTTTTGGATCATCATGGAGGTTCCCAACTGCTAGCAAGTGAGGTTGAGATGGGTATGTAGATTTTTGTTGTTGTGCTTTCTAAGGAGAGATAAAGCGTCCACTTACTGCGAAGTTAGAAGAATGTGTTCATGAAGTTAGAGAGAGAGAGGGGCCCGTTTTGGCAGATGGGTCCATTGGATTAGGGGTGCGGCAGTTGAAGAAGTGGTGAATATGAAGAGGTGGTGAATGTTTGGTCAAGAGAGAGAGATAGAAAGAGAGAGGACATGTGGAGATTGGCTCCAAGTTAAGCGGAACATAATCCAACCTTGAATGGAGCTTGATCCATTCCAAATAGGAACAAATTTTTCTTAGATGAGGTGCGACTCAACTTTAAATGGGATCTCGTTCGTATCGTCTATGGGAGCACGATCCTAATGAGCATGGGAACACGATCCCATTTTACATGGAACCCATTCCTGTCAAATAAGGACCTCGATCACAATGTATCGGGAATGGGCTCCCTGTTCATACGGGATCTCGATCCGTAACTTTTACCCTTATCGGAACTTGCTCCCCGAGCTCCGGAGCTTTAGGCAGTGATCGATCTGACGCTCCCGCTGCCAGAACCGGAGCCGTTCCCACTCCCAATAACTATGTGATCTTTTGCTTAGGAAATACAATTTTTTTTTTTAATAATAATCACGCCTTGTAATTTTGGCAACAAGATCACTCACAGATGGTCTTATTGCAAACAATAGAAATTCCAAAAATAAATAACACATTAAATAAATCTCAACTACTTGATGCCATTCATACAACCTAATACTGTGCTTGAGAGTATAAAATAAAAGAACTAAAAAATAAAAGAAAAGATGTCGGAGATTACCTCAACCGGGCTTTTATACCCACATGGAGTCACCACATCCAACGGCGCGGGATCTGTAGTCTAGCTTCAATCTTGAATCAGGATAGCTGATTTCGGTCAAACTAGGTAACTACCCCTTAAAATCTCTACTAAAGCTTTAACCCCAAAAATTAACTTAGGTCTAGAGCGGAGAGAGAGTATTACCTAAAATATGGAGAGAGAAAGATGAAGGAGAGAGAATGGGGCGTGTCCCTCTAGTAGAGAGAGGTGAGAGAGAGAGAAGAGAGGTTGTGTGTGTAGAGATTGGGGAAGAGCACCCCTATTTATAGTGTATATTTAGGTTTAGGGTTTTCCCATAGTTTGCCTCTTTTATGAGATTGAATCTAGACCGTTGATTAAGGTGACTTGTGGGGTGAGAGATCTGAGACATCCATTCCATAGATGGGCCATCAACATTATGGAAGGTGCTTGAACTATTATCCCCCATTCCTTAAGCCATTTTTCCATCAATATATTTAAATAAAATAAATATCATGTATTTTATAAAGTTGCATGATCCATGTCACCTATTCCATAAGGATATGTCAAATATTATCAAGTAAATAGATACTACCAAATATAAATAAGATAAGGTCAATATTTACTATCTATTCAAATTGACCATATCTCTTTAAAATAAACTTGCTATAAAACAAATAAAGCCATGGTTAATATTTCCCTTCCAAGATTTGACCACATGCCACAAATCAAACTTACATTAAAAACTTGAACATAAAGCAAACAAGAGAATCCAAAGAGGGTGGAGCATGCCACCCTTTTGTGGCACATGTGGGCCCCCACCCACATGCCACATGGTAGGCCCATGTGCACTTTGGGCCCCCATGGAATTTTATAAAAAGTATTAAAATTAAATTAAAATGAATTAATATATATTTGAATTTTTTATAACTTTGTAAAATCAATAACTATATTTTTATAAAAT